GTATATATATTATACTAATATCTTCCATAAGTTCTATTGTTATTTTGAAAAATAAATAATAAACCCTAAGGCTCCGTTTGGTTAGAAGAAAATAAGCTAGAAAAGAAATGAAATAGAAAGTGAAGTGAAAGAAAAATAATAAAAAAAATAAAAAAATTCTAGCATGCATTTGATTAGAATGAAAATTTATCCAAGAAAATTGTAGAAAAATATTAGTTTGTTAGTTTGGATAGTGAAAAAAAAGTGATTATGCTATCTTGTGAAGTAAAATAATGGATTATTAAATTCAAATATATAATTTTTTATATTTATTTTTATTATTTATATTTAGAATAAGGCTTCATTATATTTCCTTAGGTAAAAGTAATTATTAGTTTAAGATAAACAAATTAAAAATAAATAAAAAATTAAAGATGAAGAGGCAATACTACTGTTTGGAAGAAAAATCAAATATTTCACCATATAATATATATATATATATATATATATATATATATATATATATATATATATATATCTCCATATTGGATTATGAGTGGCTAAAATTGTAACATAGAACAGAAGATTAAAAAAAATTAAAAAAATTCTATTTAGAAACATGATCTATTTTAAGCAATTTTTCCCAAATTATCAGTGATATTTTGTATATATAAAATAACTTATCTTAGAATAAAAGTTGTTTTTGAAAAATTTGCACGATTAAGTTAATGGGTCAAATAGAAACTGCAAATAAATAAATGCTTATTTTCAAGTGTTTTTTGCGAAATTTTTTTTGAGAGATTCATTAGTTTTTTCTTCTATCTAAACTCTAAAAAAAATTAAAATTTTTTTCTTTCCTTTCTTTTCGATATGTTTCCAGCTAACCAAACAAAACCTAAAGAAGGAGAGAGACACGGGAAATACTTAATAAAAGAATTGAGAGAGATTAGAAGTGACCGAAAACGTTAATTGAGGAGAGAGAGGGAGATATGGATTTCTTTCCATAATAAAAAGTGTAATTGTGGTATTTGAAAATAAATAATTATTTATTTGTAAAATTAATGATAAAAATGCCAATTTTCTTTAAAAATGTAATGTAATTGTAGAAAAATAGAATGTGAATACCGTTTTCATATTATAATATATATATATATATATATATATATATATATATATATATATATATATATATATGAGAGAGAGATAAAATCTAAGAGGGCTGGACCTTTCCACTTAACTCATTCTCATATTTCAAAATTTGAAATGTTGAATTTATATTGCTAATCCACAATTAATGGAAATCAAAGCAGTAAATGAACATGAATATATAAATGCATGTGTTTATATATATATCTACGTGAATGGTAGAACCATGATACCCTTAAGTACATGAAATAACCTATTTATTTGAAGGTAACCAGGGCATTTATGCCTTTATTTGTTTTGGGTAATTAACCCATTAACACTTTGGGGCCATACTCCATGAGAAAGCATCCCTCTTATTAGCCAAAAACCCACAACATAGAATCCATCTATTTCTTTCTGTCTTTCTTTGTTTTCACCATAAAGATTCAAGAATCTCTCTCATTAGTCAAAGACACCACCAATTCCTCACCAAAGTTATGCTTATTATATACTAGTAATATATACTACTCCTATACATATATATATATATATATATATATGTATGTATGTATAGTGTTTGTGTCGGAGGAGAGGGTCCCCAAGGAGCATTACTCTGATGAATCAATCTCGTGGATCACGTTCATTGTTACTTTATCGAATGTGGACCCCATACCTCATTTCCCTTTCTCGTTTTCTGCCACTTCAACTCTCTTTCTTTCTATCTCGATAACAATAACAATAACAATAACCACGGTTGTAAAGACGCGTTGGCGTATTACTTTTTTGGTTGAGAAATTGAGAGGTTGGAATTGTGTCATGGGTCGGTCTCATCCATCAATGTCTTCCCAGCCCATTCTAATTAATCTTACCCATCTCTTTCAACAACAGTTGTCGTTTTTTCCTACTAACTACTCTTCCCTTCCCATTCCCATTCCCATTCCCATTCCCCCTACAATTTCCACATACAACTCTGCGTTTTGTAAATATTCTCAATTTCATAGAGAACAAATGCGTTATTTTAAATCTAAATCAAAAATTATTTATTTTTGTCAAATGCCCAAATTAAGCTCCATTCCATTTGGTATTGTCTTTGATAGGAAGGAAAAAAAAGAGGCAGAAGAAATTTGAAAGGAAAAGACAAAATTTTTTTATTCCGTAGTGATGATATAAGTATAATAGGAAGAATGTACTCATTCACAAATTTTTATCCATTTAAATATGAACGAAAAATAAGAAAGAAGACATGTGAATTTATTATAAAAGTTTTAAATTACTACATTACCCTTTATAAATATTTAATAAATCTCATAATTAAAGTAAATGATGAATTTAATGGTAAAAAAAAATAAATTAAAATTTTATTATTATATAGATCAAACAACTGAACAAAAAGAGGAAAGTACTAGGGATGTCTCAGTCATCCTTTTTTTTTTATTATTTTTTCTCTTCTATTTAATTTTTTTTCCTTAACGAGCAGAGCATAATTAGCAATTCACTTGAGTCATATCTTTTTCGTGGTAGCCCGACCAAGTCATGGCAGACTAATTTTCTAATAATTACGAATCTAACCATGTCCACACAATTGATCCATTTTGCTTTTTATAATCATGCTTTGATTTGTGTAATTAAATTTAATTGTCTCTTTTAGAAGCCTAATTATACCTTATACATTAATTCCCTTAAGTACTTGGCTGTGTGTGCATATAGTAATGAGATAACGGTTTGTGCTTATTTTCCTCCTTCATCCTCTCTCTTTTTCGGCTTCATCCTTGATTTGTTGCAGGTATTTTTATCTTGCTTATTTTTTGTATTTGAACTTCGGTTACCCTCTTGTATTTGCATGACGTGTGGTTTAATTATATTGACATGTGGTTTCTTTCTATTGAGTGATTAGTATTTATACATGTCAAATTTTGATTGGCTGACTTTTTGCCCCCACAGAGGCACAAGATGAATAATTAATTAAAGAATAGTTTAACTAAATGTGACAATCACAATTTATGATAAGAAATCTCCATTACAATAAAGAGGTTCATTTTAGGTGCTACTAAATTTTTTTGTCTTTTAAAATAGAAAGGTTTAACATTTAAATTCTTAAAAAGCAAAATGGACCCGTATGAGTTTTTTTTCCAGAACTAACATTCATGAAAAAAAAAAAAAAAAAAAAAAAAAAAATAAAAAAAAAAAAAAAAATAAAATCCCACTAACATTAAAAAATGAAATCATGATATAATTTATGGATGATTAGAATTTACTCGTCTCTATAGAAAATTAGAAACCTGGGATTTCCATATATGCAAACGTAGCATTACTGAAATTCAGCGAGTAGTTCCTCCATCTGCCAATGTCACATCCGATGAGTTAAAAACCAAATGTCATTTTCAGTTCGCCATCACGTGGGAGAACTCTTCCTTGTTATCACCACCAAAGCTCTCTTCTTACTTCCTTAATACTTGCTATTTCCAGTTTAACTATCTCCAGAAGCATTGGACCAATCATCCATCCATATATGTAAAAAGTTATTACATAGTGTTGGATAGCTTGTCTAGACCAGACCAATAATCATTTGATATTTAAATAAAAATTTAAGTGATTTTAATAATTCTGAACGTATAATAAATATATATATTTTTTGATCAATTTACAACAAACTTTGACCTTATAGTGTTTGATAAAGTTTGACATAACCTGTCAACACGACACGAATTAAATAAATTTGCGTTAACCTTAAATGGGTTTAAGTCGTAAACTGGTTGACACAATTAACTCGTTTAGTTAATCGTGTCGTATTTGAGTTGAAGGGTTCAATCCGTTTATACCCAATTAACTAAACATGTTATAAACAAATTTCTACTTAAGTTCCAAAATAACTATCTAACTTGTATGTAATAATTTATTTTATTATAAATTAGAGATTTTTTTAATAATTTGGTTAGATTGAAATTTATATTTTTTTTAGTATTTATTGTTCGATTGAGTATTATTAATAATTTAAATAATTTAATATTTTTTTTATTAAATAGATCATTAAATAGGTTATACATGTAACTCGTTTAAAAAAATAAGTCGGATTAATGCCGAAAGTTTCTGACAAAATTATTAAATAAATTATATTCGGGTTAAATTATTTAACAAAATACTTTTAATTAACACAATACAATTATTACCTGTTGTACACGAATTAACACAATATAATTATTACCTGTTGTACCCGAATTGCGACCCCAACCCCCGTAGAAGCCGTGATATGAGTATATCCAAAAATTTAAACACTTGAAATTAGCACACCGGTTTGGACTTTGAAATTAAAAAGGTTGACTCACAAACATCATATTATTTAATAAGTGTATTTTAATAAATTGATACATATGTTATTCATACAAAGCGTGTCATTCATCCCTAACCGGGTAATTATTCATATAAAGCGTGTCATTCATCCCTAACCGTGTAATTGTAGGAGAAGAGTAAACACTCCACTCCAGAATAAAATTCGGAGTACAGTTAGGTTAGGCCATCTACAAAAGAATAAAAAATAAATAAATAAAAAGTGTAAATATACAAAAATATCCTCAGTTAAACATCTATGGGAAACATGGGTGGTATTGTCATTAATGAAAAAGTTGAGAGAATGATGACTTTCTAAATTACCCCTTTTAAAAGGAAACATCCACTCCTTCCCTAAAGCAACCGACAAACTGCACCAAGGTCGAGAGGGATTACAAAGGATTGTTAAATATCTGAAACGCCCTTCAACGTTCTGTAACCTAATAAGAAATTTCTGGTCAACCTGTAGGGTAGTTTAGTAATTCAGTTCAGGCTCTCAGACTAGTGTCACAAGCCGAGGACCTCCACCTCTTGTTATTTTCACAGTTGTAACTTTCCCCAGCATGACCTAATAAACCTCATAAACCCTCCTCTACACTAGACTCTGGTGTATATAGACGTTATATTTACATCTATCTATATATATATATATATACATATATAAATTAGAGAGAGAGAGTGGCGAAATTAGAGAGCGAAGAGAGTGAAAATGGCGACCCAGTTCCCTGATGATTTCAAGTGTCCCATTTCGTTAGAGATAATGTCGGACCCGGTTATACTCTCGTCTGGTCACACCTTTGATCGATCGTCAATCCAACGGTGGTTGGACGCCGGTCACCGGACCTGTCCAATTACTAAACTTCCCCTCTCCGAACACCCTTCTCTCATCCCTAATCACGCCCTCAGGAGTCTGATTTCAAACTATACTCTCGTTTCTCTTCCCAAACCACAACCCCAACCAGAACCCCAAACCCTAATCTCGACTCTGACATACCCCTCTTCGCCAATCGACTCCAAAATCTGCTCGCTTGACCAGCTTACTCGTCTCTGCAAGCGTGACTCCGCTCTTCGCCGGCGGTTGACCGAATCAGGTGCCGTGTCGGCTGTTCTCAACTGTGTTGATTCAGATGACCCGATTCTACAAGAGAAAGCGCTTAGTTTCCTGTTGAATCTGAGTTTGGATGACGACAACAAGGTGGGCTTGGTGGCGGAAGGGGCAATTGGCCGTATCGTTGCCGCCTTGCACGGCGGGTCCCCTGATTGCAGAGCGGTGGCGGCAACGATGTTGACTAGTTTAGCAGTTGTGGAAGTGAACAAAGCCACAATTGGGGCATACCCATATGCCATTAGAGCTCTGGTTTCACTTCTTCGGGACGGAAATGGTCGTGAAAAGAAAGAGGCGGCGACGGCACTCTATGCGATATGTTCGTTTCCGGATAATCGGAGACGAGCTGTGGATTGTGGGGCAGTGCCGATTTTGATTGAGATAGCTGATATGGGGCTAGAACGTGCCGTTGAAGTACTGGGCTTATTGGCAAAGTGTAAGGATGGTAGACAAGAGATGGTGAAGTTAAATGATTGCATACGAATTTTGGTTCATGTGTTGAAGAATGGGAGCTCACGGGGTGTTCAGTATGCACTGTTGACACTGAATTCGCTTTGTTGTTACAGTGAAGCGATGTGTTTGGAAGCTCTGCAAGAAGGGATTTTTGAAATTTGTTTGGGGCTGTTGGAGGATGACAACGAAAAGATTCGGAAAAATGCTGCTATTTTATTTCAAGTTATTCGAGGGAAGCAATCGATGGGCTGATGCCTAATCGACTTCATTGTAGAAGATTTTGGATGGAGAATGAAATGAAATGAATCGGTTTTGAGGGCGGAAGTGTTGATTAAGATCTCTTCCATCTTTGGAGGTGAGTTGGTTCTGTTTTTTGTTTGACAGATTATTAGTTTTTGTAAAAAAAAAAAAAAAAAACAAAATGATAGATTTTGATGGGGAATGTCGTCTATTTTTAATTTTAAATTTTTTTTTTTTTCCCTGTTATTTTTCTGCACTCTGTATATTCCAATAAGGATGACAGGCTCTCTGTTTTAATGGAAAATTTTCAATTGGTTATTGCATATTTAGTTTTTCTCAGTTCAATTGGAATTTATATATGTATACGTGTATATAATACCCAAGCATATAGAATTTGAACAAATTTGAGTGCCTAAAAGTTTTCCAATTTAATATGTACAAGTAAATTGTTATAAATCAATTTAGTGTGTGCTTATAAGCTGGATGAGAACTGACTGAAATACTTAACAGTGTTAGCTGTAGATCCTTGGAGTGCATACTTAAGACTGATGGATATTGGTATTCAGAACTGATTTGAGTGCATATTTCTATAACGCATCGATTTTTCATTTTTTTTCAATTTTAGGACGCCATGTCTGATTCGGTGTATTGGTCTGGTAGAACAATTAGTTATAGAAGTAGTTTATATGCTTTCTTCTAATGTGTAATACTGGTCAGAGATGGTTGCAATTATTAAGGAGTCATTAAAGAGAAACTAAAATGACTATGAAAGCTTTAAAATAACCATTATCTTTATTTGGTTGAAAACAAGAAAGTTGGAATAGAACTGCAACACAGTAGCATGTTTTTCAAATGTAATAAAATTTGTCTACGCGCGCGCGCATGGCTGACCACATGTTGTCTACCTTTTTTCCCCCTGTACTTTCAATTAATTATTAAAATTAACTCTTAACCTAGGTGTTGTTTTCTGTATAAACGTTGTTTTTAGATCTAATGCTCTGCTATTAGTATCTCTACTTGGTTGAAAACAATGTTCTAAGAAATTTGTTACAAGAACTTCCTAACACTAGCATGTTGTTCGAATGTTTTTAAATCTGTTTGTGTGCGTGCATGGGTGGGCACATGTTATCTACACCTTTTTTTTTTCCATGTGCCTTCAATTAAGTTTCTCATTAACTCTAAACCTAGATGTTTTTTGTATGGAAATTGTTTTTAGACCAAATGCTATGAAAATGTGTTAGCAATGACAGTTTCTAGTCTAGGATTTGATTAGAGGTGGAGAAATTAACAAAAAGAAGTTAGAATGTCAAGTAACCAGACGCCTCAAGTTTTTCCTGGTTCATTTTCCTTTGGACGGTAAATTAAGGGAACATGATCTCTAGGAGCCTTTTTAAAAGACTTTTAAACTTCTTCCTTTTTGCATTTGAACAATCTTATATCGTATATATTTTGGGTGTTTTTTTGTGTTAAGACCATAATTCAAGGACTTTGTGAAATTAGTAATTTGAAACTGATCTTGGAGTTGAGAATGGCTTTTGATTGTTGTGGGAGGAGTGATGCTTGCTAGCTGCCACTTCTAGAGAGTATTCTTATTGGGTGTGTATTTGGAAAGAGGTAATGTTGGGCAAGTTTATGCATTTGCCCAGTAGTGTCATGATACTACATACTGGAAATTATCCTCCTCTTAGTGAAGTAGTACATTGACTTCTATCTGTGGATGCAACTAATGTATGTGGATGATGATGGTACAGTGTATATATGTTTGTTAGTTCCTTGAGGATTCATCTTGCTGTAAGCTTCTTTGCAGAACTAACATTTCTGACAAACATGCATGCACCAGTAGAGATTTTCAAATTACTTTTTATTTGTAGATCCTGTCATATCTATTCTTTAGACATGTGTCTGTATGTGTATATTGGAGGATGATTTGAATGAACAACCAGGTCTGAATACCATTGTAGTTGTTGTTGATCTCTTCATGGCGAAAGCGGATCATTGGCCATTGAGTAATTCAGTTATTATTATTTTTTATTGTGTAATTGTAGAATGTTTAGTCCCTTCTATTGTGTAGCACATTGACAGTTCATCTGTGTGTAATTGTAGATTGCTTAGTCCCTGATATTGTGCATGCCTGACGCAACTGCCTCGACGGTGTCATGATCAGTTTTAGAGTTTCCGATTTATTAGTACTTAAATGTGCTGTCTCTCTCTCTCTCTCTCTCTCTCTCTCTCTCTCTCTCTCTGATTTCTTAAAACATACGGAGTAATAGATGTTCTTCTGGTCTCTTAGTTGATAATACGTCCATAGAATGTGAAATTGGTTTTGTCTGTCCACTGTCCAGGCTTTTAAAATGTGATAATATAAGACATGTATGCGCCTTGTTATCTGCTGCGTGTTGGATTCTATGCGTGAGTCTAGTTTTTTTGTCAGGAAATTTGCTAGGTGACTTGTTAGCAATCTTAGAAATGTTTGGCCAATTAGAGCACAGTAGCACTCATAGCTACAGCTCTAATTGGATTGTGTCCTAATAAAGTTTTATCTCGCAAGTCGCTAATTGGTTGACCGGCAATATCTTGACATTCATAAACTGGACCACCATCCAATAGCATGTTGCCGCCAGAAGTAGAATCTCGTGTTTCTTATAGAGAATCCTCCTAATTATTAATCTGGTGCAAGAAAGATAATATTTCGAAAACAAGGGAGCCTTGTGTGTTATATAAGATTTGTTTTTAGCCTCTAAACTCTCAAGGGCCCTCAACACATAACAATGCAGTAGGTTTGGCCTTGTTAAGAGTAGTTGCTGCCGGCCTATGAAAGCGATGTTATGGATAACGAAATGATGCCTGATGAGTGCTTCTCATATAATAGTAGTTTAGTTTAATTGGAGGTATGTCTTTAGTTTTTCCAATGTTAGGTGTTGTGTGGTTGAGGGCAACTTCCAAGGACAACTATTTTTATTGGATTCCATATTGTGCTTTTTATGATGCAACTTCGTTTCAACTTTTATGATTTTAAGAAAATAGGTTTGTAGTTGCTTCCATTTTTAAGCTAGACGTAGTAATTTGCTTATTATGAGTCGCAAACCGATGGGTTCAATGCTCAATCGCTTTGTTGAAGATGAAAATTTTCTATTTACATTATTCTCTTTACAGGCATAAACTATTTTCCTGTTAGTGTTGGGAATTTGGGAGTGATTTGGCATTTACATAATTTCTGTTAGGAATTTTTCTTTATCACATTAATCTTTCCTTTCACTGTGTGCGCGTATTCACACACACATGTATGTTTTCAGGAACATTAATTCGATGAAGTAAGAGAAAATAAGGATGAAGAATAATTCTGAAGGGCTTGTTATTTTATTATGTGAAACAAAATATTAGTATATAAGGTGATGCATAGAACAAGAAATATGGAATTTGCTAGAGGAAATAGTATGGTATTGAAATTCATTATAGTGAGAGAAAAATTTCAGCTCTTCTCTCGTGTCAACGTCGCAACGAAACCACAGTATTCATGTTCGAATTTTTCACAACTACTTGGGTTGTTAATGGATCTTCAGCAGCAACCTATGAACATTGTGACCCAGTGCTGGCATTGGGTCAACTGATGCACCTTCCTGAAAAGTTAGGAGGCCCAACAGTTTGGACTTGTTGATGATTCTTTAGTTCGTCTCCGAAATGATGTACCCATCTCACTCTTCAAGGCCCGTTTTGACAGGTTGATAAGCAAAATAATGCCACATTTTCAATTTACACCTAATTTGAACTTTCAGTCTAAGTCTCGTAGAGCGGGAGTGAGAGCGAGAACGAATTCAAGAGCGTGAGCGTGAGAGTGACAGAATTAAATCATAAATTGAAATGTAAGAGCAGGAGCGCGCGCGGAATGTAAGAGCGACACTCGTTGAGAAGATTATGTGACTTATCTTGCAGTCCAGTGATATTTTCTTTTTTATTTTATTCTTTTAAAATAGAAGGTCGAAAATTCTTGTCTTTCCTGGTGCATGGATTGTAAAACATGAAAAGAAATCAGTTTTTTTTTTTTTTTTTCCCTCTTCTTTTTATTGACAATTGGAGCAGGGTTAGATTTTGGGACCTTTGCCATTTTCCGCAGAACCCAAAAAAAAAAAAAAAAACAAATGAATATATGTGTGTTGTGTGTGAAATGGAGAAGCCAGATGATGATGATGATTTCATAGTTGATAGAATGGATTATCGACCAACAACAACTGGTGGGCCCTAGCATGAATCGTTTGACTGTGGGGTAGTATTGTGGGTGGTGTTGACCGACAGTAGTCTGCATATCTTTTGAAAGAAGGAAGCTAAGCTGGTATGGTATTATGTGGCGAGGAGGAGGATGTATGTAAATGTAATGGGAAACGGAGGCAAGGGGTAGTGGCGAAGCAAGAAAGCAAGTAAAAAGGCCCCAAATGAATGAATGGGATTTCTTCTTAAAAGGCCAAACAACCACCACCCACCGTAAAAGCAAACCAACGACATGATTGTTGGGGAGAAGGCTCAACATAAAGCATTTCCATTGACACACATATTTAGTATCCGACATTTGACAACACATTTGGTCTCCCCCTCTCCTCCCCTCCCACACACGCAATGCCCATTGCCATATGATGTGAGGGACCTACCATTCTTAGTACCCTACTCGTGCACCAAAAAACCATTCATCCTACTCATGCCATTGTGGCTCCATTCTCATTAATACACACACACACACACATATATATATATATATATGGAACTGAATAAAGAGCCCATTCCACTTTCTAAAAGATCAGTCTGTCTTGGTGGACACACTTTTTCTTGATAAATTGGGAATACGAATTCTCTGCTGTGACACTACCAGCAAGAAATAATTGTCATTGCTCACACATGTTTCACTTCCATAAACCAACTCTATCCACAGGCGTGCTAAATGTTTTTATGGCCTAAACGTATTGGCGAATGAGCCAAGATATTTGGAGAGTAATGCATAATTATGTACGTTTAATCTTAACTTTAAAAAAATATATATATGTAAAGAATGTAAATAAGGTAAAAAAGAAAAGAAAAAGAAAAGCTTGTCTTGAAAAAGATAGATGTGATTAGTAAATAAGGTAAAAAAGAAAAATTTATTGTGAAAAGGGTAGATATGATATTATAAAATGAGGGAAGATGTATTAATGAATTT